GCGCTGCTTTTCGGTCTGGTTACTACCGTTTATGTCAGAACTGGTACCATCATGGCACCGGATACCGGTACCCATCCCTACTGCTCAGACTGTCCAGGTTTTTTGGTTTTGGTTTTTTAACTGATTTCGTAAAAACAGAGGGGCAGAAATTTCTGAAGTTGAAAGTCAAGACAGAGACTTTTCTCTCGTGTAATTGTTCGTTGCATAATGACTTTGTGTAGTATGATTGGTAATAAGGGATGTTTTCATTAGTAGAAAGTAGTTGGGCATAGAAGAAATAATTGAATGGGTGAGTGAGGCTTGCAGTATAAAGTGCTTTAAATGCTCGAGTAGAGTATAAAAGTTTTTATATAAGAAATAGTCTGATGACATTTTTCTGACCCCTGACCTTGAGGCCGAGGTCACTGAGATTCAAACTCATCTCAGATTTGTGGTAGACACACGTATGATGTTAATTTGAAAGTCCTGCATCACATTACCTGCCCAGCAAGGTGACATCATCAGCCTTTTCCAGCTGATGGTAACAACAAGCGTGAGTTTATCTGAGGGACTGAAGCACGGCCGGCATCATGCATTAAGACTTTGCCCTGTTCTGTAGTTTCTGTGCTTGCAGACTGATTTGTTAACTGTTCACTGTGGTCTAGGTGTGTGTTGTGGGAAAAGTAAGCAGTGTTGTTTCATATTTCATTCCACTTTCATCTGTCGTGCAGTCACTGACCGAACGATTCTCCTGTTTCAGAGTGTTTGTTAATCGAAGCCTGGCCATGGAAAAGATCAAGTGTTTTGGTTTTGATATGGATTACACTCTTGCAGGTGAGTGAGTCTTTTCTTTAATGTAAATTGCACTTATTTATTTTAGCTCATCCTCCTTAACTCCACATATATATGTGCAGCGGTGGTATCCCAAACTGTTTGGACAAATATATCGACCATCAACGATGGCGGGAGAGAAACAAAGAGAAACTGGCTTTTTTTTCCACTCTGTGTTTATCAGTCTGACACTCGACACAACAACAAATACAAAATTAAAAAAAAAAAAAAAAAAATCAAAATGTCTCTTCCAGTGATCTTTAAAAAAGCTGTATTATAGCTGTATGAATACTGAAACAAACAAGAAAATCTCCATCCTTTAATTTGTACGTCTTTGATTA